GGCTCAGTTAAATGGTTATCGGTTCCAGTTAAAGATAACTCCTTTAAAATAAGCTTGTTCGGCGATTACTTAAATCCTTGTCGGTTTATGATGAACTTCATTTCTCCTTGTAAACTAAGTAGAAAGAAGTGATTTCGACTTTCTAGACAAACTTTTTTATGCCACCACTGATAGAGTCGTACTCAACGATACGATCCAGCAGGATTAATCAGAATTCTGATGTTTCGGCAAGGAAATTATTTTGTGTCTCAAATTTAAGGCGAATGTCGACTGGTCCGAACCCGAGGGACTCGTTATGTTTGGAGCAATCGATAACGATCAGTGCTCCAAATTATACGGACTTCCAAAAATCTACAAAACCAATATTCCGTAAACTTAAAATCTGTAAAGCCCGCATCTATCTTCCATCACAGCCGATCCTGTAGCACGAGACTGTTTCTGAGTAACTCTATTCCCTTATGTAAATATTTATCATTTCGTAGAAAAAAATAATAGTAAATATCAATTGACTTAAAACTGTATATTTCGCCTGTTCTTCCGATTTCTTTCATTCGTCCTTATTAATACATTGTTGACCGGTCACGAGTTAACTCGTGCCGGAATGATTTGTGTCGTAAAATTGCCGATCAACAATGTGTTAATCCTTTCATCAGCATAGCGCATCATGGGTCAGCGTACTCTACCAACTGCTGTAGCATAAGATGAGATATTTCGTTTAGGTAACTTACTCTAGGGAACCGCATGCTCCTCCTACTCTACAATGACGGTTCCCGCTATCGGGCGAGACGCCCCTCTTTCTCGTTATATGGCGGCTGTTGTAGTATCACACAAATTCCATTTAGGTGATAAGCGCCCGCGTACGTATGCCCTCTTACTTTATAGCGGCCGGTCTCACTATCAGTGATACGTCCATCTCTCTCCCTCTCTCTCTCACTCTTTCGCGATTCAGGCGAACGTACGGTCCCACCACTCTGAATACTATAGGTAGACCACAGAAGAAGGGACGTAGGCCAGCGATAAGTTACACAATGGCAATACATCTATCTATCTCGCGAAATAGTCTCTCTTTCAGATTCGCATTACCCCCACCACTCCGAATATTACGGGAGAAGACAGGAGTGGGGACCAATACGTCTGTCTTTCTTTCGAGATAGCTCTTCTCTCTCTTTCGCGAGATGCGTTCTTATGTACCCGCACCACGCCCAGCACTACAGCAGAAGGCAGGAGTGGGTGGCGTGACGTAAGACGTGATGTAGGTCAGCGAAAAGCTATGTCATCTACTGACTCGGCGCCAGTCACGTAATTTGTTCAGTCTACCCATAGTGGCCCCATTACTACTCACATCACTAGAGGTGTTCATCGCCGACAAGGGCCTCATAAGAGTAGGAGGACGGCTACAACACTATTGTTTGCCATATGCACAGAGGTTTTCTGTTGTCCCAGCATCCAACAATGGGTTTACACAGCTTTTGATATGCACTTGAAGGAACTACACGTGGCCTTACAAGTACTCTTCAGTACACTTAATAAAAACTATTGAATATTTGCAGCTCGATCGACCGCATGAAACGTAATGCACAAATGCCTGACCTGTTATCACATCCATTAAATCTCCGATAGATTATGGGAAATTTACTCTCTGCCCGCGTCATCCCCGGCCGAACGTTTCTCAACGTCAGCGGCGACTATGACGGTCCTTCTAATGTAAAGGTCTCTCCAAATAAGTTCACCAAAACTCATTTATGTTTATTCGTTTGCCTTGCCACTCGTTCGATACACCTGGAGTTGGTCTCCGATTTAGCAATTCATACGTTTCTCAATGTGTTAAAACGATTCATAGCCCGTAGGGGAAGCCCGCTAGTGTGTATCCAGATAACGGCTCGAACTTTACCAGAGCAAGCAACGAATTAAAGGCCCTGGCGAATGTACTCCAAATCAAGGGACACCATCAAGTCATAGATTTTTCCGCGGACCAACTTATTCAGTGGCATGTTATTCTTCCATATTCTCCCCATATGAGTGCCATATGAGAAGCAAGAATTGAATCAGTCAAATCGCACATGAAACACGTACTCGGTAATGTTCAACTCACATTCGAGGAACTTTACACGATTACCGAAATCGAGGGTTGCCTGAACTCGCGACCGACAATGTCAATGTCTTGCGACCTTCGGCAGATTTGGCAGTTTTTGGGAAGAAAAAGTGTGCGAGTGCGAGCTAGATAATGGTAAATCTCGGTTACTTGAAAATTCCGGCTTGATGTAAGAATAAAGTACAGTTAAAGGTGTATGCGACAAATTCAAGTATTACCTTTTTTTCGGATCGACCCATTGCCCACATCAAACATTGATCAAAGTAAAGAATAAACTTGGAAAGACGAATATCAGTAATGTACCGAACTGAAGGTGTAGAAATTAAACGTAATTAATACCAATAGAAAAATATGAATTATTCTCATAATCTCGAAACAATTAAGGAAGTTTCAATTTAAATGGGCGATATTAATAAAAAAATCCAACTGAAAATTTAAATGTTACTCATACTTTGTATTGCGACGGGAATTAGGGTCTCGCAGACCACACCCTACAAATATGAGACTCCGTGAATTTTTCCCGCGATAATTCCGATTTGGGCCAGCGACGGAATTTCCACAAAAAGAGGAGACGACTCGTTTTGATATATTTCAGGCGCCAGGTGTGCCTCGGCATACCACGAGTCTGTCGATCTATCCGGTTAGGACGTTCGACCCGGCTCCGGAGAAACACGCGGGAACACCGGCCTCGGGCTACTCAATCTGGTAACGGCCCTCGCGGTCGCGTGCGGCAGGGTACAGATTGGGGGGTCCCGTAACTCGAGGAGCAGCGGTAATATTTTAAACTTTGGGATTCAGGAAGAACACTAATAAAATTTAACATTGATCCTCGGGAACTCTTTTATTGCAACAACAGATAAATTTCGTTTCTGGATCCCAACGGTAATTAATTCAGAAGGTCCTTCGTGATAAGGAGGAGCCGTAGGTTCCTCACGAAATACTTCCTCCGTCGCTCTGGAAAAACAACGGGGCACAACGCTTAAAAACTAACGCCTCCTGAACTCCAACGACAAACGGATCTATTCGGGCCGACTAACGAGAGACAACCAAGGTACGGTACTTACAAGCGAGAAGAAGAGCTCCGGTCTAAATACGCAAATGGCCACGGAAACTGTTTAAGTAATCGCAACTTTACATGACGGCGTCACGCGGTACGGAAAATGGCGTGACGTGAATCGCGTGTTGAGGAGGGCTACAAGTTACATTTCATTGAAAAGAGCGAAAATGAGATTTTATTTTTACCCATGGCGGGTTTGCTCATCACGTCGGGACAAATTCGGAACGCGAACCGCAGCAAGACGGCAGCGAAACGGTCGACGGCAGTGGAGCAGGTCTCGATACTTCCGATGACACTAGGAGTATCCTGGACAACAAGGTCCGCGGATCGACAGGACCTCCGAATTGCGGAAGGCCCCTTCCACTGATTCCGCTAAACGCCGCCGAAACCACTAAACGTTGGCAGTTAATGGCGCGTACGCTGGATGTCAAGAAAAGCATTGCGGCGCTGTCGTTAAATGCCGGAATTCTGTCAAAATCTCTTCCGTGTCTCGCTAGATGGAAGATCCTTGCCCTCATAATTCTCCTCGACTTAGGCCTATAGCGACAATAGCCCGCAATATTAAATCTTACGCGATATAGGATACCTACAATCCCTATAATACAATTTATGAATATATTAAATACTTACTACTATTGACTGCCAAAGATGACCCCCAGTGTCGCCGACCTATACTGTATTTAATTAATTACTAAATTCGGTACTTACCACCCACACAGCATCCGACTTTTGACGGCAGAATTTTGCCACCTCACAGTATATACAGAAAACTCTTAATTATTTGTATAATTTAGAGATAGTTATGTAAAACCTCAGCTTAAATTGATCGATACGTGAAATGAATCAAACTATAAGTGTGAATGTCAAACCTATTCGGTATGTGAGGAACTACGAGTTATTAGTACAATCAGGTTATAGATATAAATATTGATGATGTAAAATCATTTTATGATTGCAAATAATATTAATAAAAATCCAAATGTTTCTACAATCCCTGATTACTGTACAAATTATAATCATCAGTATTACAAATTACATGCTATAAGCATAAGTGAACACAATTTGAGCTAAGGTTCACGTATAACTGTCAAGTGAAATGTCTAATGTCTGCGTTACAGACAACACGATGCACAACTGCCAGCGACGCCATCTCGACTGAATATTCCGGGAACTTCAGAGGAAGGCCCAATATCACTGTCGAGTTTCTCTGCTCATGTGCACTTATTTAATTGAATATGTGCAAAGAATCCGATCTGAAAACGATATCTGAATATGTCGACTGAACAAAATGTTACCTTGAGAATGTTTACATCAGCGGAGCGCATAGAATAAAACTATTTTAAGAGTCTGAGAAAGTTACAGGGATTCCAATTTACGGTGTTCTTCAATCATCCCAGATATGAGAACGCTATAAGTTCCGAGATATAAATACATATACTGTGACGAATGTTAACAAACAATGGTCGGAGGAACGAGGTGTCGACAACGGACACTCCGTTCGGGAGGGGGGTTTACATTTTCTGGACATGGTTACATTCTACCTGAATCTGATCCGATCTGATCTAACGGATCTGTGTAGCCACGTCTACAAGAAGTTATATGTATGGTTCTGACGGAACTGACCTGATTTGATCTGATGGGCTGTAGTGTAGCCATATCTTTAGTCATTATGTCACGTTTGGGAAATGACTACTGCTGGTCTCTAATACGGTGCGCGATGTTATAAAAATCTTTCATTAGTATTGTACTCAAACGGCATTTAAGGAATTTACTAACTTTCTCGTAAATAAATTAATCATATTAACGATATTTAAAAGACAATTAAAAAACTTCAACAATTGATTGTTTCAGAATTCAAAGAAGCCTTCAAACTTTTCGACAAAGATGGTGACGGTAGCATCACCAAGGAAGAACTTGGCCGTGTCATGCGGTCTCTCGGCCAATTCGCCAGAACTGAAGAACTTCATACCATGTTGCAGGAGATTGACATCGACGGTAAGTTTATCAGTAGTTTAGAATAGTTTCGAGGTCGACGACTCGATGTGCTTCAGAGTTATTGAGAAGCCGAATAGATAGTAGATCAAATTTTTATGATATATTCGTAATAAAAGATAGTAAGATAGGACCATTCTTATTGTAAGTAAAATCCGGATGAAAGTCCGACTCGAAATTAAACGTTCGCACGTTGAAACGGAACTCAACGCGAACTCGGAATCTGATCGAACATGGCTCACGGACAGAAGTGGATAATGCGGTAAAGAGTCCTTGGCGGGTTCTGTTCACCGGTGCAGTTTGTCTTACTGGAGACGGTAGAATTCCCTTCGGACGGCGTCAGCGCTGACGGCACTCGGGACGGTAAGACGCTCTTCGGGAACGGGAATTGCACGGCGCCCTCCGGGACTCTTTTGGCGGGAAGAGCGACGCTGCTGCTGACGGGAGGAAAGGTGGTCGAGCTGCAACCGGTGCGGTAGTCCCTCTAGCAATGAGGGTTTAGCTGAAAGATCTTCCGTCCATCGCCGTCGTCCTGGTGGATCCTAAGGAACTTCTTAGCTAGCGCCAGCTTGCCATCTGGCCTAGCTTAAGTAGGTCACTAGGCCGCCTAATTAGGGCGGCCACCGAGGGGTGGCAGCAGGACCCCCAAATTCGGGGCTCTGCGCGCTTTCCGCGAACCTATGGATTTACCGGCCGCGCTCCGCTGCGCGCCAATGTGTGCCGCGCCTGCACCCGTCTACAATATTATCATATTTTTACAACGAGGTTTACTATAATTAACAACTTATGCATCGACAGAGGGACTCCTCCTCACTCCGGCATTGAAAATTCCCCTTCGGACGGGCGAAGATTTTGCCACGTCACAACCTATGGATCTAATTTAGACGATTACTTTACGTACAATCCACTTCATGGGTTGCCATGTGTACACATCACATTGCGTATAGTTTTATGTACATCTATTATAGATATATATGTTTATGCCTGACATCTAATATACATATGACAGATATACTTGTTTCGTGTGGGTAAGTATGACTTTGCAAATTGAACTTTTCCAATAGGACGTCTTTGGCGCGTTTTGTACATCGAGGGTGGTTTTGTTTTTTGTAGATTAATTTTATTTTCTATTTGCGTAGTCGCTTTTAATCGTCTTTCAGAGAATATATAAGAAATGAGCGACTAAGTTCTCGTGGTTTGGTTGAGTTCTGCTGGAATGCATCGTTTCTCTATAGGGGAGCCCTTTTTTAGGTAGGGTGTTGAATTAATGCCTGCCATGGATTTGTTTCGTTTCATATGTCTTACAATTAGAAGAGCAAACTAGATGCTATGAACACACAAGTTTCTATTTCTTTTTGTTGTAAATCACTCCAGGAACGTTCCATTGTTCAAGTAGCTAAATTTTGGTTTGGTTCCGCTTTGCATAATTTATAGAATTAATTTGTTCTATTTCTCTTGGGCGTTTCTTTACTCGTTTGGATACCGTTTGCTGGGTTATATCGACGTCAGTGTTGTGTATTCGTCTCGTTTCCATAATCCGAGATGTGACCATTTATATGTGTTAGTCTGCTTCGATCTAAGCTTAGAGGTACTGCATTGGTGTCCGTTCGCATCATGTTTTGACATTATAGGTCTTGTCTAACAATGAGTTGTTATCAGTTTACTATAGTCGATTGCAGAAGGCGTTATTGTAGTGCTGAAAGTTAGTATAAAACCTATGCCTCCGCTAGCTTGCTGCATTCCGCAGGGATTTTCAGGGTGTAGGTCCCCTTTGCTCCCGTTTTTGTGCTGCTGCTTGTTTGCTATGTTCGCGTCACGAATATATGTGATTGATACGTCCTTACGCACTCTCACGCCGTGTTTATAATCTCGCAATATTGGCAGTTTACGTCTTATCTTGTCAGTGATTCGAAGATGACCATCGAGAATGAGTATAGACTCCAGCCGGTTAAAATGCCGATTCGTTAAATACAATTTTTAGATAGTTACGCCGCTATAACAATCATTTTCTTAATAACAGTAGGAAGAACGGTTTAACTTATCGATAGCACGAAGTACAATATCCATATATTACTCGTCTAAATTAGGTCAATAAGTATAGCAAACGTATATCGTCTATCATCGGCGTAAAATAAAATCTTGTGTAAATATATAAATATATTTTATGAATATGGATACACGATATATGTCATAGATATCTAAACGACATGCATAAATATCTGTCTCTTCTAGGTGAAAATGATATATCCACTTTTGATCTACAAATATTTACTTATTTCTTGACGCATACAAAACATTTAATAGGTTTGGTGGTCATCTACCAAAGTTTAATTAATATCGTTGATAATACATTTAGAAAATTGGAAGGACACCTCATGTAACCTATCATTTTTAATACATATTTAATGTTTATATCTAAATCCCAACTTGATAAAACTGTTAATTTCGTCCATACTCTGATTTTCTATTTATTTTCTCTTTGGCTGGTGACCAAACATCATGATTTTTTACCACTGTGTAAATTATGACATATTATCACGCACCGTATGAAATATAATATACTTACAGTGGGCATAAAAATTAGGACATAAGTATAAAAAACTTACACTCTCTAAAAACTTGAACACACCCGGCTTCCCTGCAAACTTAATTCCTCTCTTGTGGAGGAAATCGCAGATCCAGACTTCCCGGACCAGAGCGGCATTATCAAGAGGGTCTGTTAAATTGGGGTTCCGCGAGGCGAGCACTCGCGAAGTCGAGTTATACGGCGGTCCCAAGTACGGCCGCGACTCGAACGGGGTGCCGGCCGATACAGGAGGTGCGGCATCAATAGCTCATATGGAGCTCAGCCCTCCCTGCATCGCATGGCTGCCACATTGAGGCGGCCATCCTCCTCGCCCATTCGCCGTCTCCCGGGTAAACGTAGAGTTGTCCCAATGGTTGTACGGCTCACTTGCTGGGTGGCTAGATGGTGTGGAATGGTCCCAGGTGTGGTATTCTCCATCGAGGGTTGGGCCAATTGTGACTCCCCGGGTCCTAGTGGGGGATGGTTCGGTGCCTGGGGCTTTCCACCACGACGCCGAGCACCGGGCATTTGTATCTTCCATTATGGTAATGGGGTCGCGGTAGGGTTTCCATTCCTGCCCCATTGGCAGCACCGGTACCCTCTGTTGCACGGCAGCTCTAACGGAGGCAGTGGTCAGGGTGGTGGTTCCAACACGAGCCGCGGTAGTCATCACCGTGGGGGCCCAGGGGGCAGTGTGAGTTTAAGTGACGGTCCCCGTTGTGGTACCCGGCGCCATCCCGGCGGTTACCGCGGGTCCATAAACGGAGGAGGTTGTGTGTCGATGGGCTCATAGATAGCTCTCTAGACCCTTCGTGTCTAGGTCTATCAGAGTCGAGGCGGCTCCACGGGGATCCCCGTGGAACCAGCAGGGTGCAGGACGGCGTGTTGACGCGTCCCTGTGACCCTGGTCGGCTAAAAGCATCTCACAGTTTGCCGATCGACTGACGCAATCCGGATTTTTCTGAGCCCGCTGCCCTCGGGAGGAGATGGGCGGGTAGTAGAGGGGCCGGAGCCTGCGGATACCAATGGCACTGATAAGCAGTCTGCGACTGTAGGTGCAGTCAGGCGAGGTCCCCCCTGTAATACGATCGAATGAAACATAAGGCTCGAGGCGGCGACGGTTTGCCCTTCAGCCCGGCCCATCTGGTTCCCCATGACAGAGGGACTCCTTCTCCGGCGGACACTCCCTGCCAGGCGGTGATGCTGGTCACCGGGTCTGAGCCTCGCCGCTCGTTCTCCGCAGGGTTCCACAACGCCCCTGGCTGAGCGTAGCGAGCTTGCAGGTGGTATCGCCAGTACCAGTCCCTCAGGTCGGGCATCCCTCCATTGGCGTTGAGGTCCGCCAGATCGAGGAGCCTTATCAGTTCCAGAGGTCCTAGGGATTCGATCTGGGCCCTGGCTCTCAATTGGTCTGGGCTGGTGTGGTTTTGCATTTCGGTCCCTCCGGCCGTATGCAACGGTTCGAGGAGTCGCCCCAGGGGGAGGTTCCCTACTAGCTGGGCAACGGCTCTTTCTAACTAGGGCAGGGGGACATCAAATGGCAAGAGCCGCCTAACTATCCTATGTTCGTTCTTGAAGTAATCCTAATATTCGAATATCCCTAACATGGGAACGCGATACAAAAAAGAAACAACATCACACACGCACTTATAATAATATACATATGGGGAGGACAATCGATGGGACTGCAGACGAGAAATCTGCATACAGGGAGATGGTGTAAGACAGAGGGCCTACCCCGGAGGTAGGAAGGGGCAAGGATGCGAGATATCCCTTCTGGCTTTAACAAACTCGAGTCTCCCTATGGACACCTCTCCCATCATAAAATCCCAATACCATTCTCTAATCAGTTGCAACTCTGCTCAAAGCTGGCTGTAGGAAAGCCTTAATTCTTAATTGCTCTTATAAAATTCCAAACTGTAGGGCTCAAATAATTAATGGGTCATAACCCGGGATGACACTTCAAACAAGTATTTACAGTCCAAAATCTGAGCAGGCCAACGAGCTTAAATGGAATCTAAATTCTACATAAAAAGTTTAAAATGGTATGTTCCCAATGCTAAAGTTCCTTTCCAAACTCTAAATTAACTGGCTGGACTCGAACCCAAAGACTTTATCCCCAAAATGATTTACTCGCTTTGTCAGGGGTATGGGGGAAGGGAATTAGGAATACATACAATATATCATAATTATCATAACATCCAAACAATATCATTGGCGAGATCTGTAAATCTGATCTTATAATTCAAAATGGTACCTTTCCTGTAAGAAAGGGGGTTAGCAATATATAAAGAACATATTCAATAAGCGGTGCAACGGGAATCAGAGGTATCGCACCCTCACTCTGCAAATTAGGTGCTCCGCGAAATTCTCCCGCAATAATTCCGATTTCGGACGGGCGATGGAATTCGAATACAAGGAACGGCTTTCTTTAATTTATTTTAGGCGCCAGGTATGCCTCGGCATATCGCGAGCCCTTTGATTCTTCCGACTAAGATTTTCAGCCCGTCTCCCGGAAAAGCGGGAGACAATTCGGCATCCGGCTACTCAGCCCCATGAGAACCGACCACTCGCGGCCACTCGCGGCACGGCAGACATGGGGGGCTCGGAATGAAGTGGAGCGGCGAACAAACTCAAAATGCGAGACTGATTGGGATTCAAGAAAAAAACCAAGATGCTCGTTAGAAAACGGATTCCTCGGGGACTCGTTTTATTACACCAAAAAAACACTCGCGAGATGGGCACCAGTCGCCACTGGGCGACATTGAATTACACGAATTTAAGTCATGAATTAACGCTCGCGATTCACACTGGTCGGGATCGCGGATTCCCTGTCTAAACGACGCTACTTATTACACGCCGCGATCGCGCCCTCCTCGTTGCTACCGGTCATTGACTTGAACTCTGCAAATGGCGTAGCGCTCTTTAATAGGGACCGTACACCTCGTCAAAATCTATAATCTGAATTAAGACCGCCTGGCCAATACCTTAAATGTCAACGATGAATTGTCGTTGTACCTGGTCGTCCCTCTCTCTCTCTCTCTCTCTCTCTCTCTCTCTCTTTTTCTCACTATTTGCCTGAAAATCAAAATCTCAATGGCTTCCGTGGCACGTCCGCCCTCGTCCGTGGTGTGTCCAAGAAGAAAGAATCAGACTCCCTTTGTTTTTTATTACCCGACGGTACGTGCGAGCCGGCACGTGACGTCGGCCACCTCCCCCACCCGATGACCGCTCCGATTGACCGGGGCTTCCGGAAACCTCGATCACTGGCCAATGGCACGCGCCTCGGATCGCTTATCGAAGCCGGATCTAGGCCATCCGAGGATCGATGGCAAATTCCGCGAAGTCAACCCTGATTGGTCGGACCCCCTGCGAGGTCCTCCCCGGCAGGTAACGCCGTGCTCCGGGCCGCCGCCGCATCCCACACACGTGGCGTCCGTCCCTTTTTATCGGCCCCACACCGACTCCCGGGCATCCATGTGCCGGCACTGGGAGACATAACCTCGCCTGTTAACCGGCACCCCTAACATCTGGGTCCGTGACAGGCTCCCGGTGGCGGCCGAGGGACCTCTGGTACTTCTCGCCCTCGATTTCCGACTCTGCGTCGGCTTCCCTATGCTTGTGCCAGCACGATCCTCGGAAGCCCTTTGGAGGTTAGGCCCCGGCGCCGCCCGCTTCGGCCGAACCGCACAACCAGGTAACTGTCCCTCAAATATTCTATTATCTGAATTATTACTAACTCTATCGGTTGACCTCCCCCACAATTTCTCTTAGGTTCAATATCGGAGAGATACAGCCCGAAGAGAGAGGAAGGCAGTTGAGAGGCCTCGATGCCAATCCCTATATCTTTTTATATGGCCCACCTGGCCATCAGTAATATCGAGGGATATGTGGGATCCTCCTTTAGGTAGTGACCGGTGGCAACGAACGCTGTGAGGTAATCAGAGGGCCTCCTCCGTCTTAAATATTCTTAATGTAGGGTGAGAGGGACCAGGCTCATCCTTTGATGGACCTGATTCCCCATAACGTGAGGGGGTATTGAGCTCACCACGTTACTGTACGTACATTATACCTGCCGTTGCGTGTGGGTTTCCTATGATTCTACTGAAATGACATGTGCAGTACTTCATTTCGTATTCCGAATATCGACTGTAACACATGTCAACATAAATATAAATGTTTCTAACGTGCTCGGCCAGCTTACGTTATCACTCGAATATCCAAACTGGCATTACTGCTGGAAAAGGTATAGAGGAATTTTATTTTACCGACGTCGATTGTTTTCTTGATACTCTCTTTTCATATCATCTTAATCTTATGTGTACGCACCTGATAATGAAAGATATATACTTTAAATAGTAAAAACATATAATTAATAGAAAAATATACGAATATATAATTATGTACTAAACTGTGTTTTAGGTGATGGAAACGTTAGCTTTGAGGAATTCGTAGAAATCGTCAGTAACATAGGCAGCAACAATGTAGCAGCACGAACGGACCAGGAAGAGGAACAAGAGCTTCGTGATGCATTCCGAGTGAGTACGTCAATTATTACTTAGGATATTTTTAGTGTTCTACAAGGTATACCAATATCTCCTACTTATATTACTACAGTTTTAATTTTTATCTTAGACATTTTCTCGCAGAACTTTTTGGAATTTTATTCCATATAATAGACCAGGGAACGTATTGATAATTTTTACAGAACTGATATCGGGCTGGATATTTAACTTAAAACTGATATATCTCGCAAACATTTTAAAGAAAAAAGTGTCGAATAAGAATATTTTGATCTAGAGGGGGGAGTAAAACAGTGGTATTCATTATTTATGTGAAAATCATTTTTAGGAACGTCTCTGAGTCAACTTTAGTTTTTGAAATGGTTATCCAACTGTTTTGCAACATTGAATGTATAAAAAAAGAAAGTAACTTTCATTGGAAATATTTTGTACACAGTTTCAATTTCGAAAGAAAACAATAAAAACAATGTCAAGGACGCCCCATTCCGAGTTGCATTGTTCAATATGTCACGGTTTTGAACATTTTGTTAATGTATATACATCAAGAAACACGGTAGAGTTGCGAGCCAAATACAGTTTTTAACGAGACGCTACAGCGTTCTATACGCTAAGAATCGAGATTTCAAGAGTGGAGGAAATGGGAATCTACTCTCCCCATTGTTATAGAAAAAGAAATGAACGTGTGATCAGCTAAATTATCAAGCAAAAATTCAGGAATTTTTTAAAGTTTACCTGGCTCCGATCGCTAGTACCTACGTGAAGATATAGCGTCTTCAAGTTTTTCAGTACCCTGAGAATCCTAGTTCTGTTATCATCATCGTGGTCGCCCCAGTCACAGACTACTTTTTCGCACAGACATTATGAGTGGACTGTCATATAGTTTTTGGGCAGCCAATATGCGATACCGCCTCGTGCGGAACGAAAAGGAACTATAGCCATCCCAGCATTAAAATAATTGGATTTAGATTGAAAAAAAAGTTTCTCGATGTTTTTGAGATGGCCGAAGCCAAATCAAATAATAAAATTTCAAAATTCAAAATGGCGAACCCAATATAGCAAATAATATAATTTCAAAATGATTGGATTATAATAAAAAACGGGTTAGCGTGGTTTTTATACCCACTTAATCCAGATCTGGTAACAGGACTTTCAAATTCAAGATGGCGGATACAATAGGGGGGATTAAAATATATAAAGGATTGAATTTTTATAAAAATAAGTTTCTCACTGTATTCGTGGCCGCTGAATCCAAATCTGACATCATTTGGAAATTCAAAATGGTGGACACGAAATTACAAAATAGCTGTATTTTTATAAGAAAAAGAGGAGTTTTGCAGACGTTTGAGGTCTCTGAATCCAACTCTGGTAACAAAATTTTAAAACGCAAAATTGCCGATAAAAAGTATCAAAACGGTTAAAAATTTATTCGAAAGAATTTCTTCAGATCTTTAGGGTCATTGCTTCCAAATCTGTAAACAAAACTTTAATATGCTAAATGGTGGATCCAATATGGATACGGATAAAAATGTAAAAATGGTTGGATTTTTATTAAAACGGGTTTCTCACGGTTTTTGTGGTAGCTAAATCTAAATTTTATATTTGAACTTCAAAATTTACATTGGGGGATAAATTATGGTGCCATTCAAAATGCTGAGGGTGATGATATAAAAAAACTAGATTTCCATATACAGCGTTTACGAAATATACATATTCTTAGTAACTTTTTATCAAATTATATGTTTGTAGTAATTATATTTTGATATTATAGGAATGTATCAAATACATTTACCGATGTTATTATTAATAATAGAGACATTAACCTTATTTTTTCAAAAAGATGTGAAATGCCCTCAAAACAGCTTCGGTGCACAAAAATTTAGCCAAATACATTTACCTTTATACAAATAATTGCAAAAAAGTTCTAATTGCTCCCTTCCCATGAAAAGCTCAAATCAACTAATTTTGCCAAATATAGTAAATCATTCATTCCATCAAAGTCTCAGAGAGCCAGGGAAAACAAACGGAAAACAAAACAAAGGGAGCCATGCTCTCTTTGTTTCTTATTACCCAGCGGCACTTGCCACCTACCCTACTCCATCACCGATTCGATTGGTCGGCGCTTCCGAAGTCCTCGGTCATTGGCCAGTGGCACGCGCCTCGGGTCGCCTCGGATTCTCGGAGGCCCTTTGGAATTTAGGCCCCGGCGCAGCCTATTTCGGCACAACCGCACCACCAGGTAACTCTGTCCCTAAAATATTCTATTCTTTGCATTATTACTAATTCTATCTGGTTGGCCTCCCCCACAATTTCTCTTAGGTTTTAAGTCGGAGGGGTATAGCCTGAAGGGAGAGGAAGGTAGTCGAGACGCCCTTATACCATGCGACGGGATTACTAATGCCCAATCGGCAAACCGTCCTACGCCCGAGATTTTCGGCAAGAAAGGGGTCGAGCCCGATCTCCGGCTCTTCCGGGAGCCCGATTTATTTATAGCGCGCCTCAGGCTTCCGGGCCTGCCGTCCAAGCACGCAGACCCGGCCCCTGGGACGGGGCCACCCGGGCGTAGCCGACCGACCACTCAGCCCCGCGAGGGCCTAACGCCCTTCGCGGCACGGTAGAGTCGGGGGGTCCGGAACGGTTCCCGGATGAGCGAGGACAGTCAATTCGGGACCCGAGAAATTTTACGAGGTCGAGAAAGAAAGGGACAACCGGTAGTACGAAAAAAAGTCCCTCGCCGGGCGCGTTTTATTTCTACAGCGTCCTTAGCCTACAGGTGCGCCGCGGGACAACTCCAAGAAAAGGGAACGGGGAGCCCTGTCGAACGGGACAGGGAGGCGGCGGAAGTACAATTTGAACGGGAACGCTCCGAGGGTGGTAACCCCCCGCATGGGGGCCCACAAGGGCACAACGCTCGGTCGGGGGAAAACCTAAAATCCGCCTCTCTGGGTCTCGGAAAGGGCCCGGTGCTCGATACTGCGCAGCGGTAAGGAACGTGGCGCCGGCCCACGGTATGACCCTTCCTTTCTCGCGCGCCCCGGCCCACGCGCACGGGACCACGGAAATTTCCCGGACATCACCGACGGGAAGCTTGAGGGGCACGATACACAAAGGGCGCGCGAGAATCTTCTCCCGACACGACGATACCGGAAACGCGGACGCAACCCGACGGGAATCGGCACCGCCCTTCGCTAAAGGGGGGCGGACGAGTGCGGGCTCGGTACAAAGGCCCCGACGGAAAACGAGCGCGCGGCGCGAAGGCTTATGCGGGGCGCAACACCGACGGAACGGAAGGCTCGCTGTGGAACACGATATGCGGCCCAGGACGGCCCCAGGACTCCGGCTCACGGAACGGACGGCACAGTTGCGGTAGAGAGGCCCCCCGGGCAGGCTCGAGCTCACCGGTAAGATGGGTGCTTCGGCGGGCGGCAGCGCTGCTCTTCTTAATCGGCGCCCTGCGAGACGGGAGCGGCACGGCGCCCTTCGGGAGATCGGGACGACGGCGCTGCCGCTGGCGGAAAATGGCACGTGCTGTCACCGGTGTGGCGGTCCCTCTGGCAATGAGGAACCCGCCGGAAACTCTTCCATCGGACGCTCTCGTTCCCCTGGCGGATCCTTCAGAACTTCTCGGTGGGCCGGCCTGCCATCTGGTCTGGCCTAACTGGGTCACTAGGCCACCCAGTTAGGGCGGCCACCGATGGATGGCAGCAGGGCCCCCAGGAGATAGCAGCGAGAGACCGGAGTCCAATTTGATCTGCCACGTGTCTGCGCTGAGGTGTGATCTTCGACAGCCCACGAATCCCACGCACCCCATCCACCCCAAGCCGTCGGCTGACCACCGCCCAACCCAGCTCGTCAAGGAGACCCTGCGCCGCTGCCGGACCGCAGCCACGAGGCGTCTGCCCCGTCCGCCATTTTCGCCTGCCGGGTTTAACGGTGTTGCGGTAAACGCAGTTAAGAGTGTGTTATATGCGTTAAAGAAGTGACTTGAGGATAAGAAAAGTGGAGGAGTGTCGATGCGAACGATAGCGAGTCGTTATTTGCGGGCATATCGAAACACACCACATTGTACGCCGTAAGAGACTCCGGCAAGTTTGGTACTTAACCCTTTCGCTACGACGGGTGACTATAGTCACCGTACGTTTGGTCCAATATTGCCTGCACGGTGGGACGAATTTCGCCCATATGTCGAAAAGGATCCGTGTTCACAGGGTTAAAAGCAGACCAAGAACAAGACTAGATCTTATTAGAAGTAGGGTAGCGAAAGCCGACGACCAAAGAAAGTACTTTAAGGGGACCCGAAATGTTTGAATATTAGATTCTCCCGAGATTTTATTACTAGTTGGAAAGGGGTGATAACTGCGTCATCGAATCTGTTGCGTAACAATTTCAGTCACTTAAACTGTTTTCTTTAATTTATGTATAAATAATTGCATGTTATGAAAACCAACGACATTTTCAGGAATTAGCACGTTTACACGATTTATATCAAATGAATTGGTTACGATATAAACCAGGAAAGATAGTCGCGATATACCCATATGCCATCTACATCCATTGTTTTTAATCGATGTATAAATGGTTATTGTCAAAAAGTAAAAAACACGTATTTCCTCATATTTCGTGAGCAATCACATAGCGTAAGTGAAACTTAAGTAGGAGTCCTTGTTTAATAGATATTACAACAAATTTTCGCCTAAACGGTAGTTCATCCCCTTGAGATGGTGTTGCATAACTGTACAATATTGTGTTTTCATCGTCCTCATACAGAATACGTTTATGCCCAGTTACGTCGAAATGCTTCTGCGAAAATTAATATAAAAATCGAATTTTCACCAAACTTTGGAGGGTTGTTTCACTGTATAAATATCGACCATTGCAGATAAAAGAAAAACGCGTGTCTCCCAGATTTTCGTGTTCTTCTACATATATGATAATCAATAAGATCGGCGATCGACACATGGGAATGTTTCCTTGTGTGTACCCTTTTTCAGTCTTCGACAATAGCCTCGAAGCGTGCGCGAT